TGGGAAAGAAGAGCGGGATACGGGCTGTTCGAGCAGTAACAGCCGCACTCATTCAAGCCTCCCCCCTCATTATTTCCTTTAGAGACTATGCAAGACGCCACAATACAATGCATTCCCCGACTGCTGCGGGTGCATTGATTGCACCCACAAGAGGGATACGGGTTGTTCGAGCAGTAACAACCGCACTAATTCAAGCCTTCCCCCACGTTATTTCCTTTGGAGACTATGCAAGACGCCACAATACAATTCAAGAATGGCATATGCTATCCACCGTTGGGCACACGGGGATAGCTACCGTCACAGGAGCACTGCTTTCAGCATGGGAAAGACGAGCGGGATACGGGCTGTTCGAGCAGTAACAGCTGCACTCATTCAAACCTTCCCCCGCGTTATTTCCTTTGAAGACTATGCAAGACGCCACAGTACAATGCAGGAATATGCACTCCCCGGTTGTTGGGGGTGCATTGATTGCACCCACAAGCGGGATACGGGTTGTTCGAGCAGTAACAGCCGCACTCATTAAAGCCTTCCCCCGCGTTATTTCCTTTGCAGACTATGCAAGACGTCACAATAGGCCTACCAAAAATGGAGTACAAATAGAAAAAATCGAGAAAAAGGCCCACAAGGTCTTTTTCCTTCAAGTAAAATTGCTCCTTGGGCATTACGACCCAAGGGGGCAGCATTTATGAGGTAGAAAGGAGGTCGGAGTAGGCCAAGAGGCAATCCGAGTTGGTACCAACCACTCGGACTGCATGTACTTGGCCAAAAAGAGGCCCGAGTACCTCCAGAAAGGCCTAGTAGTGGAATTTTTCCTTGGGGATACCTCGGTTCACCTCGAGGCTCATGGGGAGGCTCATGGGCTGGCCGGACTGCTGATTTCAACCTACATAAGCTGGGAATTCAGTCCGTCACTTTCACAATTGCATAGGGAGTGTCCATGCTGCCCAAGTTAGCTCATGAGAGCACTCTTTCACTTGGAGAGAGGAGAGAAGAGCTCATGCTAGTTTGGGAGCTTGGTGGAGGCCATGAGCTAAAAAGAGGAACTTTAGAGACTAGAAGTAGTGAGGCTGGCACTACAGGAGGTGATCCGCCATAGCCCCCTCGGTGTGAGGAAGAGATAGAGGCTAGAGGGAGCCCCATTAGCCCTCCTAGAGGGGAGGACCTTATAGCCATGGTGATGGGAGCTTAAGGCAACTTGGGAAGAGGTGAGAAAGGAAGGAGAGAGACTTGAAGAAGGAGGGAGCCATAGCCAAGGAGGAGGAGTGCAAAGAGGAGGAAAGCCTTATCAAGATTGAGACTCCATCTCCAGGACATTAGCAAGGTGAGTGGAAGGAAGAGGATGCATCTTATCCTTCATCTTCTTCTTCATCTCCTTCTTCTTTTTCTTCTTCTTATTTTTCTTCCTCTTTCTTTTTTTTTTTTTTTTTTTTTTTTTTTTTTTTTTTTTTTTTTTTTTTTTTTTTTTCTTCGTCTTCTTTTTTTTTTTCTCAAAGTCTTTTTTTTTTCCACTCACATACTAGTAGGAAGTGCTCCGATCCTTCCCTGGATGATCTCATGTTGGTTACTTGTGATTTGGGCTACTCAATCTCTTGTTTTTCACTAACATACTAGTAGGTAGTGTTCCGATTCGTCTATGGATGATCTCATGTTGGTTACTTGTGATTTGGGCTACTCAATTTCTTGTTCTTCACTCACATGTTAGTAGGAGATCCTCCGATTCTTCCATGGATGATCTCTTGCTCAAATCTTGTGAGATAGCCTAGTGCAACTCTTGTTTTTCATTTTCACACTAGTAGGCAGTTCTCCGATTCTTCTATGGAAAATCTCTTGTTGGTTACTTGTGATCTGGGTTACTTAAGCTTTTGTTTTTCACTCACATACTACTAGGTAGTGCTCCGATTCTTCTATGGATGATCTTATGTTGGTTACACATGTTTTTCACTCACACACTAGTAGGTAGTGCACCGCTACTTCCATGGATGATCTTTGATGCAATCTTGGTGATCTAGCCTACTGAAGTTCATGCTTTTCACTCACACACGAGTAGGTAGTGCACCGCTACTTCCATGGATGATCTTTGATGCAATCTTGGTGATCTAGCCTACTTAAATTCATGTTTTTCACTCACACACTAGTAGGTAGTGCACCGCTACTTCCATGGATGATGTTTGATGCAATCTTGGTGATCCACCTACTTAAGTTCATGATTTTCACTCACACACTAGTAGGTAGTGCACCGCTACTTTCATGGATGATCTTTGATGCAATCTTGGTGATCTCGCCTACTCACACTCATGCTTTTCAGTCACACACTAGTAGGTAGTGCACCGCTACTTTCATGGATGATCTTTGATGCAATGTTGGTGATCTACCCTACTCACACTCATGTTTTTCACTCACACACTAGTAGGTATGCACCGCTACTTCCATGGATGATCTCTGATGCAATCTTCGTGATCTAGCCTACTCAAGTTCATGCTTTTCACTCACACACCAGTAGGTAGTGCACCGCTTCTTCCATGGATGATCTTTGATGCAATCTTGGTGATCTAGCCTACTAAAGTTCATGTTTTTCACTCACACACTTGTAGGTAGTGCACCGCTGCTTCCATGGATGATCTTTGTTGCAATCTTGGTGATCTAGCCTACTCAAGTTCATGTTTTTCACTCACACCATAGTAGGTAGTGCACCGCTACTTCCATTGATGATCTTTGATGCAATCTCGGTGATCTAGCCTACTCACACTCATGCTTTTAACTCACACACTAGTAGGTAGTGCACCGCCATTTCTATGGATGATGTTTGATGCAATCTTGGTGATCTAGTCCACTCAAGTTCATGCTTTTCACTCACACACTAGTAGGATGTGCACCGCTTCTTTCATGCATAACCTTTCGTTCAACCTTCGTGATCTAGCTTACTCAGACTCTTGCTTTCTCTCACGTTAGTAGTAGGATGTGCTCCGATTCTTCCATGAATGAATCTTTGCTCAAATCTTTGTGTTTGATCTTGTTAGACTCTTGCTTTCACTCACAGGATAGTATGTGATGTTTCGGATCTTACTTAGTTGAACCCTTCTCCATGTGCATGTGCTTTCCACTAGTTATAGCTTCTCATTGTCATGATCATGTGTGTTATGATGTTCCAGATCTTACTTAGATGATCTGTCCTCTATGTGCATGTGCCTTCCACTAGATCTAGCTTCTCATTGGCAAGTTCGTGCATGATGTGATGTGTCGGATCTTACTTAGATTGATCTCTCCTCTATGTACTTGTGATTTTCACTAGTTCTAGCTTCTCATTGTCAAGTTCATGCTTGAACTGATGTTCCGGATCTTACTTAGTTGATCTCCTTTCTATGTACATATGGTTTCACTAGATCTAGCTTCTCATTGTTATGTTCATGTGTGTTGTGATGTTACGGTTCTTGCTTAGTTGATCTCTTTTCTATGTGCATGTGCTTTCCACTAAGTCTAGCTTCTCATTGTCATGTTCATGTGTGTTGTGATGTTTCGGATCTTACTTAATTGATCTCTTCTCTATGTGCATGTACTTTCCACTAATTCTAGCTTCTCATTGTCATGTTCATGTGTGTTGTGATGTTTCAGATCTTACTTAGATGATCTCTCCTCTATGTGCATGTGTTTTTCACTAGATCTAGTTTATCATTGTCAAGTTCGTGTTTGATGTGATGTTCCGGATCTTACTTAGTTGAACCCTTCTCTATGTGCATGTGCTTTCCACTAGTTCTAGCTTCTCATTGTCATGATCATGTGTTTTATGATGTTCTGGATCTTACTTATATCATCTCTCCTCTATGTGCATGTGCCTTCCACTAGATCGAGCTTCTCATTGGCAAGTTCGTGCACGATGTGATATTCCGGATCTTACTTAGATTGATGTCTCCTCTATGTGCATGTGATTTCCACTAGTTCCAGCTTCTCATTGTCAAGTTCATGCTTGAAGTGATGTTCCTTATCTCACTTAGTTGATGTTCTCTCTATGTGGATTTGCTTTCCACTAGATCTAGCTTCTCATTGTCATGTTCATGTGTATTGTGATGTTCCGGTTCTTGCTTAGTTGATCTATTTTTTATGTGCATGTATTTTCCACTAAGTCTAGCTTCTCATTGTCATGTTCATGTGTGTTGTGATGTTCCGGATCTTACTTAGTTGATCTCTTCTTTTGTGCATGTACTTTCCACTAGTTCTAGCTTCTCATTGTCACGTTCATGAGTGTTGTGATGTTTCGGATCTTACTTAGATGATCTCTCCTCTATGTGCATGTGCTTTTCACTAGATCTAGTTTCTCATTGTCAAGTTCGTGCTTGATGTGATGTTCCGGATCTTACTTAGTTGAACCCTTCTCTGTGTGCATGTGTTTCCCACTAGATCTAGCTTCTCATTGTCATGTTCATGTGTGTTGTGATGTTCCGGTTCTTGCTTAGTTGATCTGGTTTTTATGTGCATGTGTTTTCTACTAAGTGTAGTTTCTCATTGTCATGTTTATGTGTGTTGCGATGTTTCAGATTTTACTTAGTTGATCTCTTCTCTATGTGCATATACTTTTCACTAGCTCTAGCTTCTCATTGTCATATTTATGTGTGTTGTGATGTTCTGGAACTTAGTGTACGACCGACTTTCATTGGATGTACAGAACAGGCCGTACACCGCAATGCACACCCCCGTAGGACAGTTGCAGATGCAGGTGACCCCTATGGGCTTTACGAACGAGGTAGCCGAAGCACAAAGGAGAATGCTCGTCGTAGCCGGAGATATGTTTCCATAAAAGTGTGAGCCTTATATCGATGACAACCCGATCAAAGGCGCTCAAGAGAAGGACGATACTGAAGTCCAGCCGGAGATTCGGAGATTTGTATGGGACCATCTGCAAGACATTAAGGACTCACTGCCGGTTCCTAGTATATAACATCACGGCTAGCGGACCAAAAAGTATTCTAGCAGTACCGTAAGTAACTATACTAGGATTTTGCTACGGTGCTTACCGTAGGAAGCCAGACCCGGCGAAGACAGACAATAAATCACAGTGGCCAACACCCCTGCGCACGACAACGGAGGTAAGAGCGTTCCAACTGACATTTCGTTAAAACTGACATTTTTTTCTAAATTCACGAAATTGAGCATACCAAAGAACAACATTTTTTTGTGTTTTTTTGTCCTCATGACGTCGAATGATCACATCATCGGGTGATCTGACTATCGGATGTATGTTAACGGTACTTGAGGTACATCAGATGGACAAAGTGAGATAACCACTTTCTCACCCGATGAGCAATGAAATTTTGACTAAGTTCACTTTCGTGAATTTAGAAAAAAATGTCAGTTTCAACGAAATGTCAATTTTCCTAGGCGTGGTCGGATTTTGGAGGATCTTCATTAAGAATTTTGCCAAAATTGCCGAGCCTATTCGGGCCATGATCAGAGAAGAGGGGACCATGGATTGGACGGAGGAGCGAGAAGAAGTTGTCCAAACCCTCAAGGACATACTGGCATCGGAGCAAGTCGCCTTGTCCGCACCCTGTTTCAATGACGAAGTGGGACGGGCCTTCATCCTAGAGACGGATGGAGGACCTTTGGCCGTAGGAGGCGTGCTGATTCAACGGGATGAGGAAGAGAGAGAGAGACCGATTAGGTTCGAAAGTAGAACCCTGAACTCCGCAGAACGACGGTACTCGCAGTTCAAAAAGGAGGTCTTATCCATCTTACATTGCCTCAAGACCTTCCAGGCCTACCTATTTGGGAGGCGGTTCATCTTAAGGCTCGATCCGATGAATGTCGCAGGGGCCTTAAAGAACTACAAGCCTATAGATCCGGTAGTGGGAAGATGGGTAGGATTTATCTGGCAGTTCGATTACAAGATCGAACGGATTGCGGGAATCAGAAACAAGGCCGATGGACTGAGCCGGGTCTGCATCACTCCCGAAGGGGTGGAGGATGCGGAGCCCATAGATGCATTCCTTGAATACGAAGGAGGAACTCTTGCGGTGGACAACGAAATGATGGGCGAAGGATGCGCGTCGGGAGAACTGTTGATCCGGACTTTGGAGAAGATGGCGCCTGCCGTAGCAGCAGAACTTAAGGAAGGACCAGTCACCACTCAAGGTCGCAAAGAGGAGAAAGATTCGTGGGGAGCAATAGTAGGACCGAAGGAGGAACTAATAGCAATGGCGGTTGAGGGAGGCCGAGATGCCGTGATGAGCTTAGTGAAATCTTGGGAAAGGAAAGAGTTGCGATGGATGATAAACCAGATGCAGGAAAGAAAGGATGAGAAATGGGAAAGGAAGGAGTTTTTCTATGCCCAGATATACGAAGGGATCTTTTGGGAGATCGAGCTGTTACTGGTAGGAAATAAACAACCCACGGAAGTCAGCGCTAAAGCAAGGGAGGAGGCCGAAAGGTACGTCCTAAGGGGCGACCAGCTATTACGAAGAGAGGAAGGTACTATGCCTAGAAGAGTTGTGTGCGAAAGATCTAGGCAGTTAGACGTTATCCATGCAATGCATGACGGATTAGGAGGAGGACATCGATCGTCTAAAGGAACTCTTGCAAAAATGACGCCACTTTATTGTTGGCCAGACATGGTAGGCATGGTCGCCATATACTGCCAGACATGCCTTATCTGCCAGGAACGAAGTTTGGCACGTATCTTCGAGCCGCTTAGACCAACGCGGGTGCTAGGGTCGGGACATCTGGTCCACCTTGACCTTGTGGTCATGCCTGTATCAACAGATGGGTACAGGTATATTCTAGATGCGCGAGACGACTTGAGTGGGTTTGTGGAGGTGATCCGCGCATGACCACGGAAGACTTAATTAAGGCAAGGTGTCAACAAGTTCTTAAGAACGAAGAGGTCATGGAAGACATCGCCAACTGGGTGCTAGACAGCAAGATGAGGGACGAAGCAAGGTGGGACCATATTAAGAATGTAAGAAAGGAACCACTTCAGGTGGGGGAGACAATATTGCTAAGGAACTCGGCACTAGAAAAATCTTGGTCGGGACAGCTGGGGAGGAGGTTCAAAGGCCCCTACCGGGTCGCCAAGCGGGTGAGACTGAACACGTTCGAACTGGAAGATTTGGATGAAATTGGATTAAAAGGACCTTTCCCGGGGCAACGATTGGTCAGGTTTCTAAGTCGGGACCCAGTGGAACAATGGCTTTAGGAGGCCGCGGATAAGGAAACTAAGGGGCTACAAGCGAAGGACTGACACCCTTACCCGCACTATGGTTTTGTCTCTGACTGCGTCCGTGGGACTGTCATTTTTTCTGGGGCTGGGGCAACGGTTTGGACTGACTGAGGTTGGAAGGCGGGATGAATTGGGAGTTTGCGGTAACGGGTTTGGATGACAATGGGAAGGATTGTCGGGGTCATTGTATCATAGTTTTGACGGGGAAATAATGGAATCATCACAAAAGGCGCATTTGCATAAGGGGGAGAAATGTATAATAGGGGCATGATGCGGAGGATACTGGGAGCATTCTGGGAAAAGAGGAGTTGCCTACCGAACTGGGGAAACAGATGTATGAGGGGTTTTGCAGGTGTTGTTTTGTTATACAGGACCTAGAAGAGAAGCACAAGAAAAAGCAAAAATGGAATTCGGCAATGAAAATGACAGCGGGGCGATCAACAGGCCTACCGGAGGGGAAAAAGCGGGACCGAGTCGAGGGAGGAAGACCGCAAAGAGAAAGTTGTATATAGGACTCATAACCGGGCCAGTGGTAGGCAGGGGTGGAAAAAAGTGCGTATGTAGAAGACCCTCGCCCCTCCAGGAGAGAGAAGGTATAAAAATCTCATCTGAGAGTGAGGGCGAGAAGGAAAAGGCAAATGTGGGAGAAGGGGGCAATGCAGATATGGGAGATAAGGCTCAGGCCTCTGACGAAGAAGGAGCCAACAAGGGCGAACAACGGGAGACTTGGCATGGGGAAAGCGAGAGGAGGCAGGACATGTGCGACGAGCATGAGGAGGGTGAGGAGAGAAGGGAAAGCCCGCTTGAAGGACGAAGCGGCCACGACAGTTGTGAGGGGTATGGGACAAGGACAAAGATTCCTTATACATACGATCCGACGAACCTAACGGGAGGGTATAGCCCCATACAGATGGAGGACAAGGAGGATGAGGAGGAGGATGTACAAGAGATCATAGAAATCAGTAGCGGGGATGAGAGAGATGAAATCTTGAGGCCTAGGGAAGAGAGGCGGCCTCCGATGCACCAGCCGCGCGATGAGGCCTTCAGATGGGAGGATGAGTTTGGGCCAACGCCCAGTCATTGGTTTCAGCAATGGACTAATGTGATCAAGCACGAGTGGATTATCAAGACCCGAGAACTCGCAAAGGCAGGGGTGGTAGGCACCAGGGTTGTCACGCGGGGATCCCCAAGCCAGGGTAGGGGTTTCACCCTCGGACCCCCGTCGCGGGGCTACCCGACCCCC